AAAGTTTCGAACTTTTAAGCAAAAGCGCGCAATGGGAGAAAAATGTCAATTTTTTGCTCTGCATTTGCAGAGTTGGAAAAACCCAGGGCTTTTACCGCTTTGAATGACATTCTTAGGATTTTTAGTCAAAATTGTCTTCTATAGCGTGAGCAAATTTAAAGTTGCCACCAATACTGGATTGAATGTTACGAATTTTTCAATCAGACCGCGCAAATGAGCAAAAATCTTCCCTACATTTACAGACTTGGAAAAAATCAGGGCTTTTTTCGCTTTAAACTACATTCTCCGAATTTTTATTCAAAACTATCTCTTACAGGGTGAACGAATTTTAAGTTGCCACCAACTTCAGATTGAAAGTTGTGAACTTTTCCATCAAACCGCGCAAATGAGGAAAAATCTTCAGTTTCGTTTCGTCTCTACATTTACATGGTTGGAAAAAATCAGTGCTTTGTCCGGCTTGAGTGATAAAATCAGCATTTTTGCCCTGGTGTGTCTTACAGGGTCAAAGAAACTACTTCTACAGAGTCAAAGAAATTCAAATTCCTACCTACTCTGGAGTGAAGCTTTGCAAATTTTAAAGAACATCGTGCAGTCGAATGCAAATTTTTTTTCGCCTTTACAAGGTTGGAAAAATCACGATTTTTCTCAAGATGAGTGGCATATTAAGCGTTTTTGCGCCAAATCTCTTCTAGATGGTCAAGAAATTTCCAGCTTCTACCGCTTTTGCATGGGAAGGTGGAATTTTTCAAATTGAGAGCGTGGAATGAGTGTATGAACAAATTTTAGCCCATCAGAATTTGGAACGATTTATAAGGGCTTTTCAGGATTTTTCACTACAAGTTCGTGCTACCGGTTGAGTGAATTTCGAGTGGCTACCGAATCTGGCCCAGAAGTTTTCAATTTTTACGCAAAAGCGCGTAATTCGAAAAAATTTCAATTTTTTGCCCTACCTTCACAGAGCTGAAAAACGAGGGCTTTTTTCGCTTTAAACGACATTCTCAGGATTTTTAGTCAAAACTGTCTTCTATAGGGTGAACAAATTTCAAGTTGCCACCGACTCTGTATTGGAAGTTGCAAAATTTTCAATCAGTCCGCGTAGTTCAAGGAAAATACTCATTTTCGCCCTGCATTTACAGGGCTGGCAAAAATCAGGGTTTTATACCACTTGAGTAAAATTTCGCGGATATTTAGCTTCAAGTACCTTGTAAATTGTAAGAAAATTTTAGATCGCCACCTGCAATTACTTGGAAGCTAAGAATTTTTAAGTAAGAGGGTGATTTACAATTGTTGGTCCATTATTTGCAGCACTGTCAGTAATAGGAATTTTGCGCGATTTGAGGAAAATTTTTTAAGGGTTGAGCTTCCAGTGTTTTCAATAGTTTGAGTGAATTTCCAGTGGCATTTTTTAACATACGCGCAGCTGAAGAAAAATGCTCATCATATCATGTGAATTTCAGGAATGTGGGAATAGTACATGCTAGTTTTCCATTAAAAACCAACACGTTCGGGTGGAAAAATCAGTATTTTTTGATCATTCGCAAATAAATCCCATCCAGTCCCCTATATAAATAATTGAACCGCTGAAGAAAAGTTGATGTATCCAGAAATATCGCTGAAAATCCACTTATTGGCTTAGTTGTAATAAAATTTTCCCCATATCGAGATATTCCCATGACATGAAATTTTATTTCTGTCTCAAACGGATTAGTTGACCTATTCGATATCCATGCAAATAAACCATGAAAGGCTGAAGAAATTGGAAGTTATTTGTTGATGTCTGCCAATATGTTTTGCTGCAGAAATAGAACGATTTTTATTTTATCAGAACACAGCGCGTCCTTCTTGAGCTAAATAAAAACCCAGGTTTTATTTGTTTGTAACAGAAAAGATTTCGGACATCGACAATGAAACTTAAGAAGTTGATAAAACCCGTTTATTACATGAGAGCATCAGATCGTAAACTTTGTCTGCAAACGCTTTTTACTAAAATGGCTAAAACGATTTAATAGCGCTATAAAAGGAAAGGACAGTTCAGTCAGAAACTATCGGGAAACATCTATGTTATTATTGCGGCTATTAAAAAACTGTTATTCATTTCGTCTTATACAAAAGGTCCTTTTTTGGGTAAATTATTGTTATTACATTATATTGATGTTTCCGTTTCAGGGTAGCTGGCAGCAATAAAACCATCACAACGACAATGTAAAAGCGCCGAGCAGTGTAAATATGTACAAATTAGTCCATAAGTTTTGGTAGAATTATACTATGTTTATTCACAAACCAGTGTAAGTTAATAAATGTTTATTAAACAAAGCAAATGTGTCTTCAATGCCAAAAAGTGTGCACAGTGAAGAGCTAAGAAGACTCTAATACAAATGTATATAATGTGTTCATTTGATTGGAAACTGGAAGCCCGATCTGTGAACTAAAACTCTTTAATCTATTCACTGTTTAAAAAAAATGTACAAATCATTTTCGGTTTTATTGCATAATCCACCTGGCAAGAAATTGTTATAGTCGCTAATTAATTTATTGCCTCTAGATACGCAGAAAATTGGATAAATTATTGTCAATAGCAGACGTTTACAACCGATCAGTCGGTAAGTGAAAGTGAAAATTAGTACCAGGACCAATTATAATTTTCATACATTTCAGCCGATTTATCATTTGTTCCATGCATGGCACCAAGGGCGGATTCTAAAAAGGTCATTTATTTCTCTCTAGAATGATGTACAAATGAGCGTTCTTGCCCATTTTGCCTCCGAGATATGAGCAAAAACGGGCCGGAAAACATGAAATTTTGGCAGAATCTTGAACCTAAGTGTTCGATATTCAAATTTCGCTTTCTGGGTCAAAACTACTCGAATTTCCTCACTCACGTTGTTACAACTGAATTGACTTTTCAATTCTCTATCCAACGATGCCAAAACGAATTCTGTGGCTCGAATGGTTCTTGAGAAACTTCGAAAAAAGCAGCGTCATGTTCAAG